CAGTACGGAAAAACGAGAGAGAGAGAGAGAGAGAGAGAGAGAGAGAGAGAGAGAGAGGAGGAAGAGGAGGTAGCCCCAGTCTGAGCCTCTGCACCCAAGGCCCTGGCACTGACAAGGCTGTTCAGAAGAGCACCTCGGTGCTCACGCCCCAGGGAGCCTGGTGACAGCTCCTCCCAATCGTGCCGCAGCTGCCCCTCACCAAGCACCCGCTGTGTCCACAAACCACAGGATCATCGAAGTTCACGCCAACCTGCACCTTCCAGGGACTCGGCTTTCGGGTAGCCCAGAAACCTTGATGTAACCAGCGCAGGCAGACAACAGGTGTGTTGGCCAGATGCTGAGTCCAGAGCCCAGACAAGGCAAAACTGCGGGCAGGAGTCGGAGCCACTGCCCATTTGACACCTGGGCAGGAGACCGGCAGAGAGCCCAGGGATGAGCCCTGGTGTCACCTGCCAGTCAGGGGTGCGGGGCGAGTCTGGACGGAGTCAGAAGCTCTGGGGTGCACAGCTGTGTGCAGAATCAGGGGGAAGGGGGAGCCCTCCACACCCCTCCGTGCTCAGCTCCTCACAGAGGTGCCCTAGGGCAGCAGGCGGCTGCAGTGCCGCTCTCAGTTTAAATCAGGGCTTCTGACCTCAAGCCGCCAAGCACAGACACACTTGGGGAATTTAGCTCAGTGGTTCTACTGCCTGCCTTGCAAGCACAAGGACCGGAGTTTGATCCCCTGCACCAGAAAAGCAAAAAAAAGAAGAGAAAAAGAAAAAGAGACACACTTCACAGTTTGAGTTTGCAAAAATCTTCCACATTCAGCCCATTCTGTACCCACTGTAGGAGGCCATGCTGGCTCTATGGGACTGGCACTGGGATAGGAGAAAACCTCCCATGGAGACCCCACGAGATTTGAGCACCGACTCCTTGCTTCATGTTCTCCCTCACAGGATACATGAGCCACTACCCAGGACTAGTAAGAGATGGGCATGGTGGTGCACGCCTGTCATCCCAGCACTCTAGAGGCTGAGGCAGGAGGATCATAAAATGGAATCCAGCTCCTGCAATTTAGTGAGATCCTGACTCAAAATTAAAAATTCAAAAGAGGGATGGGATACAGCTCAGTGCACAGGCTCTGGGTTCAATCCCTAGTCCCAGGAGACGGGGGGTGAGGAGAGACAGACACAGAGAGAGACAGAGACAGACACTGAGACTTGAAGTGGCCAGAAAGCAGAGGGAAAAATAACATTAAGTGACAAAACCAGAAGTTTCACATTTGGAATTAAGACAACGGTAAGGGAACAAAACAATAAGAAGGAAAACAGCTACTAGGCATTATTCACCTTTTACAGTAACTCCATTAGTTAGATGGGGAAAAAAATACCTGCAAGCCACTATGAGGGTCAGAGCTGCAGGGGCAGAGACACTGTCCCCTCCGGAATGGCAGACCCACAGGGCTGGCCCGCAGCTCCGTGCTGGGGTCCAGAGGGCTCCGTGTGACACTGGGCAGGGTGTCACCTGGGCAGCCTGCACCTCTGCAGCCACCTGCAGGGGCTGCTGCTGTGCTCCCCGAGGCCCCCAGGGACTGACAGGTGACAAGCAGGGACCCAGACGTCCTCAGGTCAGTAATGGGCCTGAGCTCCCTGGATGCCCATGTCCTTTCCTTTAAAACTAAAAAGGGTTCTTGCCCTGGCTCCACGCTCAACTGGACATCTCGCAATCCTCTCTGGGACAGGCCCTGCTCTTCCCCACTTCAGCCCAACTCCAGGTTGAACGTCAGAGACCCTGTCCTTAGGTTGGTTGTGTGTTGCACCTCATATTTCTCCCTTGGGCCCTGGGACCTCAGAGCCAAGGGAAGGGGACCCTTTCCCTCAACCTGCAGCGCCTGTGGGAGAGGGGAGGGGATCCAGGGTGCTCACCCCTCTGCGGCCAGTGAGTTTCTTAATAACTGGGGTGACTTAGTCAAGAACCTCACCTAACTCTGGTTCTTTCTTGGCCATAAATGAACTACAAAATGGACTCAGCCATACTCTCCTCTCCAACTTCCGGAAAGAATTAAGTAGACCGAACTGTAATCCTTCGGGAAGAAGTGAACACAGAGTGTCCCTTTTGTAAGTGAAGCTATTAAACCTCCAAGAAAGGTGGGACACAGAGGGAAGGGAAAATAACTCTTGTCATATTCTGTTCTCTCTCTCCCCCTCTCCCTCCCTCCCCAGTAGATCTTAATGATGTAACTTGGACTCAGACCCAAGGACAACAGCAGAAGGGACAGGAGCAGGGGTCAGGCCTAGGTCACACAGTTCGTATAGTCAAAACCATATCCAGGTCCCAGGTCTTCAGGCTTCAAGGCCAGAGGCAGCTGAACTGCAGAATGGGAAAGGCCAGGGTTGCCCCCCATGATAACCTCGGGCTATGTCCGCTTCTTCAGATTGTCAACCCGAGGAAGGTGTCACAATCAAAGGCCAGTGTACAAGCTGCCCCTGGTCCCCCTTGCAGGTAAAACATGGGGAAATAACTAACCTCTTCAGGTCCAGGAAGCCCAGGAGGCCTCTGTGTATGCACATGACTAATGAAAGCCCATGGAACTATTCCGTTTGGATCAAGTAGCAGACCGTTTCCCTCTGCTAACCCTAAACCACGTGCAAAATATTAACTGCTCAAACCTTTTTAAACCATGGGGATGGAAGAGGAGGGGGAGGAGGAAGAAGGAAAAGAAAGAGGAGGAAGAGGAGAAGGAGGAGGAGACACAGGTCACTGGACCTTGACCTTCCTCTTTTCTGGATGCCGCTGCATTTCTATAAGCAGTAACTTGAAACCATCCCAGGCCGTGAGGCTGGAGGGCAGCCTAGGCACAGCAGAAAGGCACAGTCATGGGTCTACCTAGGACGACCCAGAGCCAGCCCTGGGAAACGCTTCTCAGTGGACGCATGCAGTGCACAGCCCTGGGCTCAGAAGAGAACCCCAGGGAGCTCTGGGAGGCTGATTTTCTCCAAGGGGAGAGAGAACTCAGGGGCCTCATGCAAACCCACAACAACAGCCACATAAGCCTCCAGGCCCAGCCTTAGAGTACAGTGAGCACCAGTATAAACGGGTTCCCCATCTTTCTAAAAACAAAAAGCGCACTCATAATAAGAAAACAACAGCCGCACCACAAAGGTTCTGGAAGCCCCACACCCTGGAAGCTGTGTTCTGAGACAGCCAAGCCCTTCCGGGAGGCAGGCGGCATTCACACTTCAGTGTGGGTCCTCACCGCACCGCTGCAGTGCAGTCTTCCTCCAAGCCTGGGTCCACATCCTCTCCCCTACAAAGCCTTTCTTAGCCTTTCAAGTCCTAGTTAGAGCTGATGGCTCTCCATCACCCGCGGCACGCAGGACCCATGTTCACTCTAAGTGCAGTCTGACACTCTTCTGTTCTTTGTTTGTTAGTTTGAGAAGAGGTCTTAATGTAGCCCAGGCTGGTCTCACACTAGAAGTGGTCCTCCTGCCTCAGCCTCCCGAGTCCTGGGATGGCAGTACTGTGTAACCACACCCAGCTGTGACACTTCTCTTAATCCCTCTCATTTTTTTTTTAACTTGGTACCAGGAATTGAACTCGGGGCCTTGGGCTTTCCAGACAGGCACTGTGCCGCTGAGCTACATCCCTGGCCCAATGTGACCTTTCTTTTAAAGGCCAGGCTCTCTCACTTACTTTCATATTCACAAATACATGCTGAGGAACTAGTCCTCAAGGAGCGAACGAATTCCACGCAGCTGATTCTACGCAGGAAGTCTCCAGATGGTGCAGAATTTTCAAACTCCTGCTTTGGGTGACACCAAAACTGCCACATTGGTTTGCAGCCGACAACCACACACAGGTTCCACCGGGTCGCAGAATGGCCCACACCGGTGCTTGAACGTTTGGTAAAACCCCTCCCTCGGAAATGGCCGGGGGCTCCCAGCCCAGCGCGTGGGCAGGGCAGGCCAGCGCGGAGGATCCTTACCTCTCTTCGTCCTTGAAGATGAACTTCCGGAGCTTGAGGTCGCGCAGCACCAGGCCCCCGTCGTGGCAGTGGGCCACGGCCGACGCGATCTGGTAGAACAGTCTGGCGGCCTCCTCCTCCCTCAGTTTCTTGCACGTGCGGACAAAAGAGTGCAAGTCCCCGTAGCTCCGCTCGAAGAACACGTAGGCCTTGGTCTCGCCCAGGAGGATCTCGGTGATCTGGTTGATGTTGCTGTGGGCCGACAGGCAGAAGCACGGGGCCAGAGACTCTTGGTAGCAGCTGATCTCAAACACCTAGGACAGGATCAGCAAGACCCAGGTCAGGGGCGCCCCCGGGAGCCTTGTCACAGAGTGCTGGTGTGAGAACAGAAGGGTCTAGGCTAGGTCCTGGTCACACCAGCGCTGCCTGCCACCAGCTGAAAGAGCCCCTTCACCTCCCCGAGCCTCCAAGCTCTCCTGTGTAAAACGGACAAATGATACTTCCCTCGAAATGGGAATCTGAGAGAAAATGAAAATAGACATGGCGTATAAATGGCAAAGTTGGTTTTTCGTTTTCTGTTTTGCAGTTCTGGGAATTGAACCTAGGTCCTTTTCCTAACCCCTTCTCCCTTTAAAAGAAATTGAGACAGGGTCACTCTAAGTAACCAATCTTGCGCTTAAACATGGGATTCTCCTGCCTCAGCCTCCTAGAGTGCTGGGGATAACAGGTGGCAACGACTACAACAGCTTATTATTACTATTAATAATAATTAACATTATTATTATTGTTACCAGCCTGTTCACCTTTGTTTACAGAAGGAAACCAAAAAGCAATATAAAAAATACCTTCTCTACCCTCAAAATCAAAGAAAGAACAAAAATACGTGAGTAAGCACTCTGTATTCGCAGTTAATACTTTAAATGTCTAGACTTCACCTCATAGTTTTCTAAGTTTATTATTTGTTTAGAAACAAGGCCTCACTATCTAGTTCAGGCTGACCTTACACTAATTTAGTAGGTCAGGCTGAACGTGAATCTACGGGAACCCGTCTGCCTCAGCCTCCCAAGTACTGGGAATACAGGCATGCACAACCATGCCTGGGGTAGTTTTCTAAATTTAATCCATTCGTTCTACAGATGTGGAAACTGAGGCTCAGGATGGAAACTGAAAACTCCTGCCCCCAGCGGCAGAGCTAGGCATGGGACACAGCCCTTCTCAATGAGGAAGCGGCTGGCTTCTTCCCTCCACAGACATCTAACTCAATGAGCCAGTTATGCAATGATTTTTTTATGAATCAGATTTAGCCTGCAAAATGCCACCTCACTGTTGCTTAAGAAAACGAACCGCAGATACCTTTGAAGCAGACCGAACGGAAACGCATACTGCAGAGAGGGCAGAGACTGCAGAGGAAAGCTTCCATTCATTTGAAGGCCTGCGCTCCATCAGTTATCCTGGTGCCTGAGCTGGGAGTGTGGTTCTCCTGGCTTCCGGAATGTGGGTGAGCATTTAGCAGGGTGCACAGAGCAGAGGAAGGGGTTGGGGAGCTCCCTTGAACAACACTTACTTGCACCCACAAAAGCCCTGAGAACGGGCTGCTTTGTGTGCTTCTTGTTACCAGTTTGCAATCAATGAGCTTTTTTTGAGGTGCTAGGGATCAAACTCAGGGGTGCTCCACCACTGACCCACACTCTCAGGCTTTAGAGACAGGGCTTTATGTTTCCCAGGCTGGAATTGAACTTGCAATCCTCCTGCCTCGGCCTCCCTGTAGCTTGTATTGCAGGCATGCCCCTGCACGCCTGGCATCATTGAGATTCTCAAATCGTTTTGTTGTTCATTATTTTGCAAAGTGGTGGGGGAAATGCTGGACTGAAGCCCACCAACCTGGATGCTCTGATTCTAGCTGGGCCTCCACTAAGCGGGATGGATGAAAGGCATAGGTAGGGTCGCTGGACAGCCCTTGTTTATGAGCAAACACCCTGACCCAGACACTCGGGACCTTTCCCAGGGCTGCACCTCTCCCAGGAATCTAATCAATTGAGTGCACCGGGCCTCTCTGCAGGCACCACCGGCCGCCCAGAGCACCCTGAAGGGGACCGTGGGGGACCCCAGTGTTTCCAAATCCCTGCAGGAATATTGGCTGCCATGTAGGAATCCACGAATGCATTAAAAAAACAAACCTGTGAGTCACAGAGACAATAAGCACCTCAAGGTGCTAACTGGGGCGGAGAAAGCAAAATTAACAGGAAGGTTGTGAATGAAGCCTAATGAGCTGTCTGGGGAAGTGGCCCAGCTGCTGCCACTCCGCCCTGGAATTTAAGAATGAATACTTCAGCGTCTCCAGAGACCGCAAATCACACCGATGCTGGCAGAGGACGACCCCGGAGTGGCGACCCCACAGGCCCATTCAATTAGGAATCTCAGGCGCCTAAGCCGACATTCACACCCAGCCGCTTAGCCTGGGTGATTTCATAGAGGAGTAAACGCTCTGCCTCTGTCGAGGAGGACGTCAGCGTGCGGCATTGCGTAAGATCTCTTTGCAAGCGCCGGGCTTTGGATTCTGAGGCCAGGGTTCAGAGTCAGATTATTTGCAATATACTTCCTGTTTCCAGATATCTTTGTCTTAAAAAAAAGTCCCCCCTTTTATTTTGGCTTGGTACAGTTAGCTTAGTATGTTTCCCCACTGCTGAAAAACTGAATGAATAAAGAGTTAAAAAAAAAAAAAAAGCAAACACATGTTCAGCAGCTTCAAAATGCACTCAGACCCCTCTGCAGAAGAGACCAAATTCCAAGATGGTGGCCAGAAAATGAGAAATAAAAGAAGCACTTACATTTTCCCAAATGGGATGGGGCCAAACTTTTATTAGTAGCTGTACCTGGCATTTTGTGGGCTTGGATTGGTATTTAAAGCATCACTTTCAAGTGCAAAAATCAAGCCAGAAGCCTGGCTACCAGCTTCCTGTAAATGTTTAATTTGGAGTCTCCGTTATATAATGTGACAGTTCAGATAAGGCAGGAAGACTGGGCCACCATTAATAACATTTTGCAGAAGAAAGTTACTGCCAAGATAGTAATGATGTCAGCCTGCGAGGCAGCTCCCAGCATTTCTTTGAAAAGGATACAACTAAGGACCCCCAAAGCTCCTTCGGCATCTGCCTGGCCTGGCGGGCACAGGGAGACAATGAACAGGCGGCATCCATTTGTTTTTAAGTCCCTGGAAGCTCTTCTCCCCCTCAAAGGGAACCCTACAGAAGAAACAGCATCTTTGCATTTGATCTGTCCTGAAGACTTTTTATCCCCCCTCTGGGGTCAGCAGGGCTAGGAAACATGAGCCCCACACCCTAAGACATCAAAAAGGAACTCGATTCACTGTGCCGATGTCACTGAGCCTTGAAGGAAAGCTAAGCAGTGTTTCTCCCGGGGATTCATGGAAGCTGCTTCATTAAAAGCACTTGGGGCTTCCTAGGATATACACAACATGACTCCAGAAGAAGTCACCCACATCACCTCCGGGAACGAGGCAGGAAAAACAGAAGATGCTATGTCTGAAAGCAATGACCTCTGTCAGGCGGAACGATGATACTGCACTTAAATTCACTCACAGCCACACTATCATTGGTGAGGGGCTGATTCAATCTTTGCAATAACTAAACTGGCAGGTTAAGTGCAGTTTTAGGGCAGAGAGCGAGTCTGCGAATGCCACGGTAAGGTCAGCCTACAGTGAAACACGTCTTGAACGATCTGAAGGCAGAAAGAAAGAGCAGAGGCCAGAGTCATCTGATTTTTAAACAAAGAAATGCCAGCGAGATGCTCCTGCAGACTTGGACTGCAGTCTCTATTAAAAAGCACCTCCAGCCTTTGAAAAATACTAAAATGCTGTACTGAAGTTGAGCAAAAAAAAGGAGGAGGAAAGCACCCAGTGCTGCGTGAACGTGCATGTCATAAGGCAGTGGCAGCCCTGCGGAATTCATTCATTTCAAAGGCTGACTCCCCTATTGTGCAACCACGCAGGACTTCTGAGGATCTGTTCCAGCTCTGAGTCGCCTACTGAATTTTTCCTTCACTGGGCACAGTTGCTCTGATGCTCAGTGACTTGGAAAAGACGCAAGATACCAAAGCTCACTACCACGAAGGAGCAGTATTTGAAGAGTCTCCGACTTTCTCCCTCAGGTCTGCAGGGAACAATCACAAAACAGATTCTGAATCTCCACCGACCCAATTTTTTTTTCAGTGCAACACTCCAGCCCAGCATGAAATATAAGGCAACTCCACAGAGCAGTCTGTGATTAATGGGGAAATGGGACACATTATTGTAATGCACAGCATTCATGTCAAGGTAACATCCCCAGCCACCCCCCCCCACTCAAGGCTACAACAGTGAGCAAATTAAAATTAAATGGCTATGAATTCTTGGTCTATGTCCAGCTCCAGGTTTTCCTGTTAGTCCTTTTTTAAAACTCTCTTCCTCTTCATCCCTCGTCTAATGCTCCCAGAGCACACACAAAGGCATACGGACACACAGAGACACAAATCAGTCCCTACTCAGAGTCAAAGCCAAGGAAAGCCAAGAGTTCACCTAGCTATTAGCATGCACATCCGGGGGTTCCAAATAAATGCTGGCCTGACCCTGACAGGCGGAGTGTGTGTGCGAGACGAACAAGAAGCAGGGATGCAGGAGGGGAGCAGACAAGGGAACCCAGAGATAAGAAAACCCAAAAGATTCACTGTTCACCCAAAGGTGCTCGGATACCCACGCAAACCTCCTTTCCCGGCCTCGGCTGGAGGAAAAAAAAAAAAGAAGAAGAAGAAGAAGAAAGAAAGAAAAACTCCTTCCGCTGGCTGCGACCGGGGCTCTGCCAGAGGGAACACCTTTGCATCTATTTTAAAGGGCACTTTGGGACAAAGGGTTAACACCTGCGCGCTAACAACAATGGCTGCAAAAGGAACCCAGATCTCGGAGTCTTCAAAGGACGGGGGATTCCCTAGTTTGAGTGGTGCTTTGGGGCCCTCCACAGGGCGAGAAAGCTCCCATAGGTGGCGGGACCCGGCCCCGCACTCCGGAGGTGCTCAGCCCTGCAGAGGACGCGTGTCTGTGTTCCCCGCGCCGGGTTGTCCCCAAAACGCCCCGCGGCAGCCCGCCCCATTGTCTGAAACGCTCTAAAAACTTCGCAACTCGCTCAACGGGGACACGTAAAATAAAAACACCCACTTAACAAGGTCATGCATGATTATCCAGACAGTCTCCCTCCCCCGGACTCCAGGACCCCGGCGACCTTCCGCCGCTCCTTTCCAAAGGACAGGGAAATCTTTTCCCCAAAGACAAAAATCAGCCCCCTCCCACATCCCACACTTCCCACCTCCCAGGCCCGGGGCGCTTTACCTTGCACACCAGCTCCTCTCCGCTGTGCAAATGCACAGCACGAAAAACGTGGTCTCCCTCCAGAGGTTCCAACAATAAGTATTTCCCGATGGAAGACACGCAATGCGACAAGTTCGGAGTCTCGGGCGGGCTCGGGGAGCCGAGGTTCGGGCTGAAACTCTGGCTGGGTTCGGCGGACCTTATAGAGGACAACTCTTCGAAATCCTGGGTTTTGTTCCGCGATCGCCCATATCTCGCTATTGTGATGGGGGTAGACCTGTGTATGTTCATGAGTGTGGGGATCGCACACGACCGACAAACACTCACACACACACCCCGCTGGACAGCAGAGTCGCGGGCGCCTCCTGGACGCGGGTTTTTAAAGGGGATAAGAGGGGAGGGGGCAGGAGAGGGGCTACGTGGAGAAAGAGTCAGGAGCCCCCAGATGGGCGCCGCTGGCACCCCGTCTGCTCCGCGCCCGGCTCCGGGGGTGCTGGGTGCGCAGCCAACTCGGGTCCTTTTGTTATCCAAAATGTGCAGAATCGCCGCGCTCTGAGTTTCTCTCTCCCTCTTTCTTCCAACGTGGATCTAGATGAGAAATATGGTGCGAAGCTGCAGAGCCGGTTCCCCGAAGCGATCCCCAGGCAGCTTTCCGGAGTGCAGAGGACCCCTAGTAGTTTGTGCAATTTTCCAGGCGCGCACAGCGGTGGCTCAGTCTGCAGGCGTTAGAAACTAAACCCTCCACCCACCCCCAAAAAAATAAGAAGAAAGAAAGAAAGAAAAGGAAAGGAAATTAGCACGGGTCTACCGGTTCTCGCGACGCAAGGCAGCCAGAAATCGCGCTGCACCCCCTTCTTTTGGGAGGAAAGGGTGGGGGGCGTGGAAGGGAGGGGGTGGCTGCCCGAGAGGGTAGTTACCTACGTTTCAACTGTAGATGGCGTCTGAGGCTTTTCCAAGATTGCAAGAGCTCTCAAAAAAAAAAAAAAAAAAAAAAAAAAAAAAAAACAAAAAAAAAAAAAACAAAAAGAAAAAAAAAAAGATTGTGGAAGAAGAAAGGAAATGTTTTCCTTGCTACTATATGTTAAGAAATTTCAGTTGTTGAATGTATACCAAATGATCAAACTAGAGATTAATACAGATATTTTAATGAGAATTTAAAAAAATAGTTTTATGAAAGCAATTCCATAAATAACCTCCTTTTAAATTTAAAATTTTATAATGATAAATTTCAACTGTATTTAAAAATATAAGATAGTACATTGAGTACTCAATATAACCATTATCTAAAATGTCCTATTATTAATACTTTGCCATATTTATTTCACCTGTATTTTTGTTTGAAAGTACGGGCGGGACCAGGGAAAGCAATGGTCTCCGACTTCCCCGGCTCGAGCTTCCGGGGGTCCTGAGGGAGCTGTGAAGAGGATGCTTCCCGGGTCGGCTCTGCCAACCCGCGCGGTTCCCGTCCGCCGAAGAATCTGGATCTTGCTTAGGAATAATTTGCAAACACTCCGTCTACCCTTTTGTAGCCTGAACCCAAACTGCCCGGCGGCGGGGTTGGCTTTTTTTTTTTTCTTTTTCTTCTTCTTCTTCTTTTGGAGAAAATTGATGGCTTGATGTCTTTTCTTTTTCTTTTCTTCCTTTTTTTTTT